TGCGGTCGGTCGGTTATGAGTCAATGACCGGCAATAACCGACCGATAACCGACCGTGACCGACCGGACCCACCCCTAATCCTGCCACAAACAACATTTTTCTTTTTGACGTAAGTCAAAAAGACAATTATAAGTGGGTTACTTCATTTGATCCTTCCAGACCGCTCCAACCTATCCAACCTATTCCTACTACTTCGAATTCCTCACCATCTAATGATTCACCTAGTAATATTGGCTCAATTATTGGTGGCACGTTTGGTGGATTAGCAGGACTTATAGTATTAATAACAATTGCAGTGCTTATTGTCAGAAGATATGGACATTCTCCTCATCCTGATATACGATTACATGAACAAGAAATATCAAGTCATCAACCAATACGTACTAGTCATCAATTATGTTGTAAATGATAATTAGATTTATCAGCAGCAATTTAACTGATAATACAGTTATCCGATGCTTCTGATGTGTGTAAGCACCGATCTTTTTCACATACGTGAGCACATTCTAATTACGTTCATACTTTACCCACTTTTACTAAATTACTTTGTAGCTTGAACTCAAATACTTTTTTATTGTAGCAAATTCGTTTAAAAGGATAAAATACACTATAAGTGATGATGCCTTAATAAATAATCAATTGATTTAAAGTAGACATCACTTATACTATATTTAATCCGTTTAAAGAATTTTACTCGAAATATTTAGTTTCTTGCAACTTTGCGTGCTTAGAATATAAAGTGAAGAAAATTTTTGTATCATCAAATGTAAAGTAAACGAAATTTTGTGTGAAAGTGACGAATAATATATATGAAAAACGTCAGGTGCTTATGTAGGAAGTGTTAGATATTATAATATTTAAATTACATATTTTACCTATTTATGATATATAAATACTTTCAAGTTATTTTTTTACATTAAAATATTTTTCAAATAAGTGCTTTTGATCAAGATCTTTCTTAACTGTGTTACTATTAAATTATATACTATTAAAGAAGAATCTATTAATATGTCTTCAAATTATTTACGTATGTCATTATTTATTAATCTATTCAAAACCAGTGATCCATGCGTATCAATATCTTATTTGCATTATATTGTATATATTGCTATAAATATAGGAATAATGTAGAATTACTAATTGATTTTTATTATATTTAATAACAGATTTAGAGTTACTAAGTTGAAACTAAGTTGATTTAAAATTCTCTAACCATCTACTTTGACTCAAAATTTCATTTCCACTTAACATTGATTTTAAATTTATTATTAACGTACACGTTCATTCAACTTAATTCCACTTTGATAACAAATTACCAAAAACTATCGCTTATATAAATACAATATTAATTTTATGAATATATAATAAACTTAATTTTGAATCATAATTTTATGAATATATAATGAGCTTAATTTTGTTAACAGTAGCTATGTCGTTTTAAGGGCACTAAACATTCTTATAATTTGTGAATTTACAGAATTTGTGTATGTGAAGGTTCTAACTTCTAGCCACTAATACATCTTCTGATGTTAAGAGTGTTCACTGACCAAATTAATATAAATTTTAAAAAGTCAATTTTGAAACTTTGATTTTGGAATCGATTTTAATCACTTTTACTGAATAAATTATTATTTACACGCTTTGTGGTTATATTGTAAAGAGTACAACATAAAGAAAGAAAATTTCACGGAATTTTTGGTACAAATCAGAAGCTGATTTTCTGCACCGCACGTTGTGAAGGACAAATTTCTCTATAATACAAAATTAATACTGTATATAGCGATAGTAAAACTTGTTCGAGTAATTGGATCGCTAGATTACGTCATGGGTATCTTAATATAAAATCACGGGTCTAATTGACGTTAATACAGATTTTACTTACCGAGGAAAAATAGTACTTTCGCACTATTTAGTTTGTGCACAATGGATATGTTCGCTAAATACACTAAATGTGATAAATGCGATAAATCGAATAAATGTGATTGTCGTTCAATTCCCCGAAAGTTACCCCCGACACCGTAATGCCGACAACTATTTCGTATACAGCAAATTTTCGAATAGACATATATTTGACATTACATGTTTCGAAAATCCTTTTCTTAGACAAGACATTTCTCCGACAATCGACAAGCATTTCCTCGATATAAAATTGGTCTAGAGTTAGCTGATTTAGGTTAGAATTATACGTCGGAGAATAATTTTCGGGAAAATGCTTGTCTAAGAAAAAGATTGTCGAAAACATGTACTGTCAAAATGTGTTGTAGATGAAATAGCAACTGTGTCGGGAAATGATAAATAAGTCCATAAGTGCAATAAGTTGAACTATGCTAACTATAATTGGGAAGATTTGTAGGATTCGACCTGAGCCACTCAGCGACGATATAACCTCTCACATGTACCTACGTACGTATGTATATTTCCGTTATGTAACTATCCAGTAGTTTTTCATTGATTGACGACTATGCGTAGTTTTTTAAAGTCAACATTATATTAGGGTTAGGATTACGATCAGAACTGTAATTTTTATGTCAGCTTTTAAATTACATGTAACTTTGATTTCAGAAACTTACGTAACAAGTACGTACTGCTGTACTGTCACGTATGTACGTAAATTGCTGTTACGGTAATTTTCAATCCTAGCCTAGTCTGATTTGCATAAATTGAAAAATCAGCCCATGTGGTGCTTAATTTCAGTCAAATGCCTGAAGTAACAACCTTGGAATCAAACTACGTACAGTCGATTATATATTCATACAAGTAACTCTCGATATAGGAAACCTTCGATATAAGAAATTTTTGGCATTAAGATTTTACAAGTTTCATTTGAAAATTTTCAAGTCTTTGATATAAGAAAGTTTCGATATAAGAAGGATATTAATATCAAGAGTCAGTTGTAATATTTATCGGTAAATTGTTTTTGTGTAATAGTGATATACTTTTGCACATATCAACCTTGTACTACCACATGTAATACAATGCTATCAATTTAAAATTAGGTTTCTCGAAATTTGATTGAATTTTGTAATCACAATGTTTCAAAAAAAAAGGGTCGTCCTTTTTTTGATCTTTCTCATATCTCATGTACATTCTTTTGGATTTGTAGGTAATAATACTATTGAGAAATTACATTATTGTCTTTAAAAAAAGATTTATATTGCTTTTTTTTGAATTTAGGACATCAAATTGCTGCAGCAATAGGACAGCGATTTCTTTCGCCAAAAGCTTTTAGGAACGTCTTCGAATTGCTTCCAAAAGAAGCACATGGAAATTTATCATAGTATAACAATTCAATACATTAATTTGTCATTAAAATATTGATAATTACAATTACTAGAATTAAAAAAATTTTTCTCTTTATTTACAAAAGTATTGCAGCATGGCCTGATCAAGTTAAACATACACCAGAGTACAGATTTACATCTCCAATGCACTTTATATCACCACCGAACGATTATCCACCAAATAATTGTACTTTTAGTTGGGTTCCAGGAAAATATGATTTGATTAATGCAATTCATAATTATTCAAATAGACTTGATCCAGAATCTGATCCTAATTTTTGGCCAAGAGCTGAAGCACTAAGATTTTTGGTTCATTTCATTGGTGATCTACATCAACCTTTACATAGTAAGTTATATACCTTTCTATACTTATATATTCATTCTCATAATCATAAATTTTATTTTATATAAAAAGTTACAGCTAGAGATAGAGGTGGAAACGGTTCTCCAGGTATATTTATATTTATTTCTTTACTCATTTATACATTCAGATCATGATATATCGTAGTATTGATTTAATTTATTTCTTTTTTAAATAAGTTCTATTTGAAGGACATCATACTAATTTACACTCTATATGGGACTCGTCTTTAATTTATGTACGTCAACAAAAGTTTAGAGATTTCACACAATGATTTTGGATCATGAAACATTTATTTTTCATGATCAAAACCATTCTTTTTTTAATATATTCCTGCTACGGTAAAACCTTTCTAGGGGCATCCTTTTTAAGACCATAGTAAAAAACAAAAACGTCCACTGGTCGAAATAAAGTAAATTTCATTGTCTGATATGTATCCTATTAATGGTATATATCAAAATCAATAGAGCTATCGACAAAATGATAGCTATATCAACTTATCGATACCTCTATCATTTCTTATATATACTCAATAATGGCACGAATAATGTCATCAATTGGAGACATATCAGTTCTAAAAAACATTGATCTTTATCTATTTCAACCAGTGGTGCACTTAAAGAGAGCGCATTTATAGAGAGCAAAATATATTATGCACTTATGAATTCAGTGTATGCATAGGGAGGTCTTACTGTACGCATTTTGCAAGAAATTTGAATTAATTGATTAATTTGAAATTCGAATCTAACGTGTGTAAAACAATTTTATTATATTTATTAAATATTCTAATAACAGAAACGAATTCGAGAATTTAATGAAAATTCTACTTTCGACTATAATTTAACTGAGATTGATAATCAATTTAACTCTTCTGAACCCTTATTTGGAGGCCCATTTTATGATTTATATTTAAATTATATAATTCATTTAATGAAAACAACATGGCGTCATGAACTTTCTTCATGGAGAATTTGTCAAGAAGACTTTGAATTTTCAACTGAATTTTCTTATAATCCTAATCAATTCCATTTCACCTCTACAAACGTATCTTCCGAATATTTTACAGTTTCACCAATGGATAAAAATATTTCACATAGTGTAGCCTGTCCAGAATTTTGGGCTATACAAATAAATGAGTTAAATTGTAAAGTAGTCTATAATGGGTACGAGCCTAAATTAGATTTGAGTATCGGTACTTATTATGAGAGAATCGTTGATGGTAAAATTATTGAAAAATTATTAGCTATTGCCGGAATTAGAATTGCTGCTGTGTTGAATACTATTCTTGGATAGATAAAAATTATTTTTTTTTAATAAGATTTATCATGTCTTGAAAAATCACTACTGTTAATTTTTAATTTCCTATTAAAATTGGTTTTGAAAGGTTTCATCAAAAACATCATTGCCGGGAAAGCTAAGTATCTAATTTGAAATCTGGATCTACAATGATGTCTTTTTTATATTTAATTATTCATTTGAATGTAGCTAAAAAAATTATATCAACACAATTTGGAACATTTATATTGTGATAATTTTTAAATGATATTATAATATTACTTGTAAATCTATTTTATGATAACTCCATAATTAGATCTTCGACCATTAGTTCTGTAGTTATAATGACTTATCTTTGTTATCACTTATTGACTTTTACTTTTGCTAATAAATTTTTAATTTTCCATCTACTTGTAGATCAAAAAGTTATTTACTTGTGATTTCATGATTGTTAACATAGAAAATCAATGTTTTTTTTCTATTATTATAAACATAATTACGGGAATTCTTTTGTAAGTTGATAGTTTTAATAAACTAGCGACTAAAGAGTGATAATAATACTTGAGAAAATATTGTAAATATAAAGTGCTATTTGTAGTATTGAAGTTGGTAAGATTTTGTCATTCACATTTTAATATTGTGCATTAGAATGTGCATTACCTATATTAAGATTATTTCACTCTTGAAACAAGTCTACTAAAGTTTGAATAATAACCTAATTCATGAGTTTGTTATTGAACTCTTGTAGTATTCATGTTATTTTGTATTTTCTTTATTAATGTTTCTATATTTTGGTTCAGTTTGCTCAAGTTTGAGTTCAAGTTCAATAAACCTAAACTTGAATTGCAAATTTTGCAAATTATTGAATTTGAATCTAAACCTAACTTAGAATTTATAAATCTAAACTAAGTTTGAATTTAAAAAACTAGTTTAGTTTGAGTTTAGTTTGAAGTTCATAAACATTATTTAGGTTTAATATTTAAATTATTTATTATAAAATTGTACCTTTCTGTTATATAATAAAGTAATTAACAATCTTCTTAACTTAACAGGTCTTATACCAAATGAACTTATTGATCTCATCACAAGTTTGTTATCTAAAAAAGTAATCACAATACTTATTATAAAATTTATATTTTATCTTAATCAACAAATTTATTACAAAATCTGAATCTTTTATTGCATTTCAAGATCTACAACTTAACCTCTTAAATACAACTCATTATCAAACTCTGTCTTATTTTTATCATGTCTTCTGTTCAATTTCATTAGTTTAAAAATAAACTTTTGGTATATTTAATAGATCAAATATCAAACTTATCTTTTATATATAATTACTAGTACTCAAATCTAGTTATTTTTATTGGTTTATATTATAGATAAATTAGTCTGAGTTTCTATTCTTTTTATAATATATTAAAAACAGAATTATACTTTATATAAAATCTTAATTAAATATTCAATAAAGATAAAAACATAAATTTATAATTAATATTAAAAAAAAAAATAAAAAAATAAATAAAATTATATATATATATATATATTTGTTATCAATATTCATGAGCAACTCTTTCCGATGATCCTCTGCACCAATTTTTTCACATATACCGACCTACGAAAATTATATAGTTAGCATGTTTA